ATTGAGCCGTGATAATCCATACATTCTTACCAATTTTCGTTTGCTTGTATTTCTGTTAAAAAGCATAATTTTGGCTCAAAATTTCGCAATAATACTTTAATTTAGATGTTCTATCGAGGACAATAATAATATTTCGCTAATTTGGCCTCTAAATAGCATTTTTAGAATATCACGTGATTATGAGCTTGGGCTACCTGTGGACAATTTGTGACTGATAAGCGACAATGAAAAAAAACAATAAGAAAAATAAGAAGTCCGAAATTTAAACTCGCGGTTCCACAGGAACCCCAAGCAAAAATGTGTACCTTTTGGACTTCATGGGGGAAGGGCCATGCCGGGCACCGTCATGAGCACCCTCTGCTTTTTTCATTTATCAACAATCTCATCAATTAGAATAAATGCAAAAGCATGAACAATATAATAATACTTAGAATAACAACGTACGATTGTAACATTGCCCGATTTCATACCGTGGGGAAGTCTCTTAATTCGCACGATGGTGAGATAAGACTTATATAGAACGAAAGATCGCACAGTAAATAAGAAATTCACAAAGTTTGGTGTTAATTGTTTCAAATGTAGATGATTGRCAGCTTTTCAAAAATTCTAGATTTTACAAAGAAATGWATGGGATTTTAAAAAATGCGGACGCAGCGTCCGGCATTCTATACACCCTTTTAATAAGTCCTAAGGTATTGTTTTCTCCGCACTTGACGTCAAATTTATTCTTTTGAAAAGAATAAATTTGACGTCAAGTGCGGAGAACGTAATACCTTGGGACTTATTAAAAGGGTGTATACATTTCTTCGGAAATTCTAGTGTTTTTGAAAGGCTGTAAATCGTTTAATATTAACCTGATTGACGCCAAATTCGGACAGTTAGTATTTCTCAATGCGTTCTTTCGTTCTATATAAGTCGTATCTCACCGTCGTGCGAATTAAGGGACTTGTGCCCAGTCTTCCACGGTATGAAATCGGGCAATGAACTAGCATGTATTGAGTATGAT